AAAAACGGCCTCAAAATGAAAACATACAAAATTCACAAAAATATACACAATAATTACATGCACAAAATGAATGCTGATGATTCCATACAATTAACCACAGAGGTAAAGAGGCTGAGTTAGTAGTTATCGCATACATGATGACTATTCAAAAACATTTGTTGCATTAATAACACGAGTACTGGATGGTGTGAAGGACTGTCGAGCTCTGTTTGTTTTAAGGGAAGTTAATCGAAAGCGGCGTCCAGATGGAAGTAGTTGAAAATGGTGAGATAAATATGTGAACTATCAATTCTAATCTGGCGCTAATAAAAAAAGGGAATATACTCAAAAGACAATCCAGTAATTTTGCTGGCAGTATTAACAATTTTGAAAAGTTTGATTTTGTTGCGAGCAGACAGACCCCCATGTCAACAAGCATGCTCAGCTTTATTGGTACATTTTTGGAAAGACGATTCCACGCACATTCCACATTGACATTTTATAGGAGCTTCAAAAAGTATTAAATCATTTTTGCAGCAGTGAGTGCAGAGATACATTTTATCTGCTAGTCCGAACACGCCCCTGTTGATACTGACATCAATATTCCAGAGTGAATGAGTGAGTAAATATAGTTTTACCCAGCTTTTAGCAATATTGCAGCAATATCACGGCGGGGGACACCAGAAATGGGCTTCACACATTGTACCCATGTGGTGAATCGAACCCTGAGCTTCTTTTTGACGAGCGGACGCATTAACCACTAGGCTATCCCATCGCTCCGAATATTGCTGAATAATGTTATGTTAAATACTGCTGGAAAATAGATTAGTGGATTTTCGATCTTAATGTAATTGTGAGTGTGTGAGTAAGTATGGATTTACGCCGCCTTTTGCAACATTCCAGCAATATCACAGCAGAATACGCCAGAAATAAGCTTCACACATTGTACCCATGTGGGGAATCGAACTCGGGTCTTCCGCGTGACGAGCGGACGCTTTAACCACTAAGCTACCCCACCGCCCCTGATGTAATTGTGTGAAACAGACATAGATAGGCAGAAATGCTAAATTATACATGAACGGATTTTGTACGGGATAAATCTAGAATGTTGATGAAGATGTGGACCACAAGTTTATTGCTCTGTAGATATATTTGACCTCAATGTCCACGTCCATGGTAAATTTACACGGAAATAGAAGTGACGAGAAAGTTAGTATTAATGCCAAAGGTTGTCTGCCCTTTGACCACGCGCATGGTCCATGAGTGGGATATACGACTGGAGGTGAGGTGATGTGAGATTGGGTTTAACGTCGTCTTTGAGAATATTCCGCTCATATGACGACGTGCATGCGTGTGTATGTGTATATGCGGCTGCTTGTACTAGCACAGACTTAAGCTGGTTTAATAGTGCTAGCCCACTGAGATACCATGCCACAGTGAAGCATGAATACCCCACTCAGACACATTATACTGACTCCGAGCCGACCAGTCCTTGTTGTACCCATTAATGCCGAGCGCCAGGCAGGGACCAACAAGTACCATACTTTATCGTCTTTTGGTATGACGCGGTCGGGGATCGAACCCGCAACCTTCCGTTCTCCGGACGGACGCTCTAACCACTACACCACGGAGGCGGTCTACGACTGGAGACCATATGGGGTGTTAACTTCCAACCGCTTAAAATCACGCCAATCGTTTTCGTTCTCAAACAAAAAAGGCTGATGACGGAAATTGGAGCATGAGAGCGGAACCAAAAAATCGTGACTGAATCAACTCATTAATGTAGAAAGGGGCGGTGGGATAGCCTAGTGGTTAAAGCGTTCACACGTCACACTGAAGGCCCGGGTCGATCCCCCACATGGGCATAATGTGTTAAGCCCATTTCTGGTGTCCCTTGCCGTTATATTGCTGAAATATTGCTAAAAGCGGCGTACAACCATACTCACTCACCCAAAAATGTAAAAATGCAGGTAACTCCTCAGCATCCCCAGTCTGCTCCAGTGTAGTCATCATGTCTGTTCCATTAGCAGCCGTGCCTCCAATTTAAAAAACGCAAAGGTAAGGAACTGGTGATCAGAGTACATTGGTGGCTGTTTTGATCCGAAAGATCCAGGGGAGGTAACTCTTGGCTAGGCGCTCGATCGCCCTACTGGCTACATTAGACAACCAGAAAGAACTACTCTCGTTTTGTGTGTGTGGATGCTTATTAATCGTTGACCTGATATCTCAGGTAATTGAGTCTTCACCAACAGCATGAGCATCGATCTACGCTATTGGGAGCTCAGCCTCAGGGTGTTTGGCGCTGGTGGGTGGCTCAGGGTCAGGTCTGACGAGTCTGCTTCGGTGAGGCATCAGTACTGTATAGTCCGTTTGGCTCAAAAGCAGACTGATGAATTGCAATCTAACTCGAAAACTAATAAACATAAAATACTCAATGAAACGCTGATCATAATCAAAACGTCAGACCAACTCTGTGATTTTTTTGCAGAATTTATGTCCTAAAAATAAAAAAGTTGTTTAACAAACTGTCATTAAAATATTGACACAGTTCACTATTTGTTACGAGGGAGGAGTGCAGAGAAAGCTAAGGGACAGTCAGGTGTGCGAGAAAGGATGGAGACGGCACAGCACAGGTTAATCAATAACTTTGTCGGCACTTGTGCACCTGCTTCTCTAACACCCTGCTGTCCCTTTCTCTGCACTCCTCCCTCGTACCAAATAGTGAATTGTGTCAATATTTTAATGATTGTTTGTTAAACAACTTTTTTAATTTTAGGGCATAAATTCTGCAAACAAATGACAGAGTTGGTCTGATGTTTTGATTATGATCAGAGCTTAATTTGCGTGTATAACTCCTTGGGGTCTCCATTCGTAATGATTCCTGGGCTCGCCTCGTTCTCTCACGTGATCACGATCTAAGACGTGATTGGTTGAAATATAACCACACATGTACCACGTGATATGGATCAAATAGAGTTTAATGACGTCATTCGTTTATAAGTTGGGCACCAATAACGTCATTTGCAAGGGAGATAAGCCATGGTGCGTTTATTATGGACATGTAACTCTTGGTAAATGTACAAAATATGAATCGATATAACTGTACTGTTTTGGCTATGAGCCTGCTTCAAGAACACTTTTTATGCAGACAAGAAGGTTAATATTCGTGTAAACTTGCCCTTTAGCAGAGACCATATAATAGAGCACACATGACAGTTTTCATCAAATACAAAGACAAATATATGCTTAGGCACTCTAATACACCTCAAAAACACTGTTGCAAATATATGCATATACATGAGAATAAATGAAAAAAATATTAAGTCTTACCTTTGCAATGAAAATACGCGAAATCGATGACTGAAGTGAACAGACGTTTTCGCCAGCTTCCAGATAGGCTGCGCAGTACAAGCCGTAGCGCTGATGGTTTTGCGCATTGGCTCGAGGGCCGTCCCTCTATTATATGGTCTCTGCCTTTAGGTAACTATGTGAGCGAGCATGAACCGTTAACAACAAAGATCTAGTTAATGAAAGATAAAGCGAAATGAAGCTCAGATTTCTTTATTGTAAAAGCAATGATTATAACACAATCGTAAATACACACAAATATGGATTGCTGCAAAGATGTAACACAAAATGTGAATTTACATAACACTTCATTCAATTTTGCAATGCTATTTGCATTTAATATATGTAAGTGGATTTCCCCTGGTCTCAAAGATATATTAAACTACAGTTAAACTGACGGGCTAAAGAAACGCTTCCATAGATTAAATCACTATTGTGAAATAACCACAAAAAGATAGATCTGTAAAACAAAATGAACAGAGAGAATCGCCTGTCACCCGAGAATAGTACTCTCTGCCATTCAAGTCAGTGAAAACGTTGAACCGTCCATGCCCATCTAAGTTTCCGTCGAAGCTGTTTGGCTGTTAACTGCTGTCCCCGGAAAGGTCTGAAAGCCCGGATTCCACAGGACCTCGGTCGTCTGGCTACTGTGTATCGGCTTACACGGTGACCCAAGCCATGCGCCGCTGTTGACGTCACCGCCAGGAAGGGGTTTCTGAGATGCAGCGTGCGCAGATACTTATAAATTTTGCTCTTTGAGCGAAAAACATGCAAACTGTATTTGGACAATGTATGGCATGCCTTATTTCCAAGTGGAAAGGTCATTGTTGCGTTTGGGCGATGTGTTTTCACGTGATGGTGATTGCAGCTGCAATTTCCTCTCAAAGTGGTAACGTTTCTTTAGTCCTTCAGTTTATATAAACGAACTAATAATTTATTAAGAAATATTATATCGCAGCCATCACGTGTTGCCGGATTAAATATATAGATCTGCACACGAAGAAAAAAAACATAAAGTTACCAAGAATTTTGATTATTGACGCCTAGTTTTTTGCAAAGCTAATCTGTCTGAAAAGGTTTTTCATACCGAAGTGCACCTAGGATTCTGTTTCGTACAAATGGCGCATCCGATAAAATTGTAATTGCAAATTTCCGATTGATAAATAGATAGGGAAGGTCGTGAAAGGCAAGTATAGACAGGATTTATAGTGTGTTTGCAGTGAAAACGTACCGATCAATTTCACTTTAAACAAAAATGTAAATCAAATAAAGTGAAATTAAGATTGCAAATCCTCATAATTTTACCTTGCCAATTGAACATTTACATCTCAGAATTTCATTCAACTTAGGATAAAAGTTGTTTAATAGATCTTAGATTCAAATCGCTATTACTGGTTTGTATTACAAGGGGGTAAGCGCAGTAGTTGGAACAGTCAAACAAATGCACGCGCGGTAAGTGTTGAGCGTTAACTTAGAACAACCCTTGTCGTTTTCGGTGTTTCATTTGATGCGCGTACCCCATTGTAATACAAACCAATAATAGCGATGTGAAACTATGATTGTTTGTTAAACAACTTTTATCCTAAGTTGAATAAAATTCTGAGATTTAAGTGTTCAATTGGCAAGGTAAAATTATGAAGATTTGCAATCTTAATTTCACTCTATTTTTTGTACCTTTTGGTTTAAAGTGAAATTCATTGGTACGTTTTCATTGCAAACAGACTATACATAGGTTCAAGTTTTGGGCTAATAGAAGTTCACTCCCAAAATTCGTTTTATATCAAAAAGTACACGAGCTAACTGGTGTAGTAAGTTAAAAAACGTATTCTGTTTCGTGAAATTCAGATTCATGCACCTAATGTTATAGATAACATAACGTTCGGGATATCTTGCGTCTTTGGTCTATGGAAAATGATAGAAGAAAAGCCACAGTTACGCTGATAGCTTGGTTCTTCCTCGCTGTCATTCCTTATGCGGCTGGAGAATCTGAAGTTATACAACAATCACCACCATCATCACCATCACCATCACCGTTGTCGTCGTCGTCATGATCATCATATTATTATCATCCCTCGTTCAGCTTGACACTATATGTTACATTTTCATCATAAACGTTATTACACACCATTACCAGTTTCAATTTCGTCATCACCATTAACTGCATATCAGTTGAAAAATCTATCGATGTAAATGTATGAGGGAATTGGTATTAGTGACCTCTGAAGATCTCCATTTAGACAGAAATAACTTACCATTGCAAGCTGTGAAACACGTGACAGTCACAGCCTCGCTCTGACCCGCCGACCCTCCATCCGCCAGCAACCGGAAGTAGTACAGGGTGTCTGACTGGGAGCTGCGTGACAACGAATGTCTGTCGTGTTTGGGACTTGTCTTGGTCTGCCACTAAACGACTAACATTCCACACGGTTGAGTCTTGGTGACGGTGGAAGAGAACGAACCTCGACCCCCCTGTACGTGTGTCATTGTAGGTCCACTGTATCTTAACGCTGGAGGCCGAGTGCTCGGTGCAGTAGAAATCGGTTGGAGGGGAGGGCTTCGTGTCTGTAACGAAATGGGTTTCCGTGTTGGTCACACCTTTGTCCCAAGGATCACACACGTGAATAACGTGTACTGACAACAACGATGATAAGCATTACATATTTAGGGGAGAATTATACAATACTCACCAGGACGAATGGTGGTTGTTGCAGATGTTGGTACTGAAAATAGAATTGATATTTTGTTGTTATTTTAGCATCAGATGCGCGATAAGACGGATTAGGTACACTTAAAATCCATCGAAAAGAGGCACACACACAAACGCACGCACGCACGCATGCACGCACCCTTCGTCTTTGTACCGAATGTCAGTTAAATTTCCCTGAAGGCGCACAAAGCTAGGATAAAGCTCCCGCCATCATTACGCTCCCACCCCCATATTGGTCAATTTGGACGTCGATAAACACGTACTCTTCCGTCACGGCACTGAAGCAGAAAGCGTGATTCGTCACTGAACCATGCAGGTTGCCAGTTTTGTAGATTCCAGAATAGAACGTTATTTCACCATGGAACCTGTCGGCGTCGTCGCAGCACAGGGCAAAATAGGGTCTTCTGGCTCGTAAACGATTACGAATGGTTTGCGCGAACGCTCCTCAAACCAGGCACTGCAGTTGCAGTTGCTGTGAGAGTTCGATTCCGCAAATGAAGTACCCGGATGTACCTATCCCCCGCTGCAGTGGTTTTCTGAGGTCTCCCACTTCGAGGTCGATCTTGCGTAGAATTGGTCTGTTGATATAGGTCCCATAAACAACTGATGGTACTCTGGTGAACATTGAGGTGACGCGCAACGGCAGATGGAGACTCCCCAGCCTCCAGCCGTCCAATGGCAATGTTTCGATTTACAGCACTGAGTCGCGGCATAATGATATTCTTTCACTGAGCTAAAAAAGTGCCAGTGTTCCTCTAAAAGCAAAACGCTCTATATATTCAATGTCCCTGCTCACGATTCCTCATAACTGCACGTGCATATTTCGAACAATTTTTTCGACATTTTCGACATTTTTAAATGATTTTCATGCAAGTTGACACTTTAGAACATGAACGTTCATTTAAATTTTCGAAGATGCATTGTTGCGATGTACCTTCGTTCCATGTACACAAACCAGCATTATAAAGGAGTAAATAAGACAATCATACACAAACTTTTAAACATATTTAAAATTCCATTTGTCAATATCACCTATGCGTTTCTGTTTTGGAAGAGTATATATTTAGGGGGGAATTATGCAATACTCACCAGGACGAATGGTGGTTGTAGCAGATGTTGGTTCTGAAAATAGAATTGATATTTTGTTGTTATTTTAGCATCAGATGCGCGATAAGACGGATTAGGTACACTTAAAATCCTTCGAAAAGAGGCACACACACAAACGCACGCACGCATGCACGCACCCTTCGTCTCTGTACCGAATGTCAATTACATTTCCCTGAAGGCGCACAAAGCTAGGATAAAGCTCCCGCCATCATTACGCTCCCACCCCCATATTGGTCAATTTGGACGTCGATGAACACGTACTCTTTCGTCACGGCACTGAAGCAGAAAGCGTGATTCGTCACTGAACCATGCAGGTTGCCAGTTTTGTAGATTCCAGAATAGAACGTTATTTCACCATGGAACCTGTCGGCGTCGTCGCAGCACAGGGCCAAAATAGGGTCTTCTGGCTCGTAAACGATTACGAATGGTTTGCGCGAACGCTCCTCAAACCAGGCACTGCAGTTGCAGTTGCTGTGACAGTTCGATTCCGCAAATGAAGTACCCGGATGTACCTATCCTGTGCTGCAGTGATAATCCGAGGTCACCACTTTGATGCCTATGTTTAGAATTGATTTGTTGATATTGTTCCCCAAATGACTGATGGTACTCTGGTGAACATTGAGTGACGTGCAATGGCAGAATGAGACTCCAAAGCCTCCAGACGTCCAATGGCAATGTTTCGTTTTACAGCACTGAGTCGCGGCATAATGATATTCTTTCATTTAGCTGAAACAAATGCCAGTGTTCGTCTAAAAGCAAAACGCTCTTATTTATTCATTGTCCCTGCTCACGATTCCTCATAACTGCACGTGCATATTTCGAACAAATTTTTCGACATCTTCATCATTTTCATGCAAGTTGACACTTTCGAACATGAACTTTCATTTAAGTTTTCGAAGATACATTGTTGAGGTGTGCCTTCGTTCCATGTGCACAAACCAGCATTATAAAGGAGTAAATATAACAATCACACGCTAACTTTTAAACATATTTGAAATTCCATTTCTCAATATCACCTATGCGTTTCTGTTACATTTAGGGGAAAATTATGCAATACTCACCAGGACGAATGGTGGTTGTAGCGGATGTTGGTGCTGAACCTAGAATTGATATTTAATTGTTATGTTAGCATCCGATACCCGTAAGATGGATTGGGTACACTTAAAATCCCTCAAAAACACACACACGCACGCACACATACGCACGAACAAAATAATAATTGTAATTGGTCTTGATTATATAAAGGACTTGAAAATGACACCTAGATATGAAATCTTATCTTTATCTTTACGTCTTTTTATGGACTGAAGTACGAAACGGATACTGAGTTACGCATGTTGATACAATCGAATTGGTGTTGAATATATATAAAGAGCTCGAATAGGAATTTTCTATATGAAATATTACCAGCAACATAAACTGTCCTCATTCCGCTGTAGTCTTCACTAATGACAGAACACCTGAACTGTCTCCCATTGTCTTGATTCGAGACTGTATGAACCAGTGTTGACGTCCCTGTATACTGGCATTCCCCTGACGACGTAGGACGGTCGTAGGTGATGTTTTGGTCGTTGGGGTACCGTGTCCAGGTGGTGAACTCGTTGTTTACAGATCGCCACTCCCATGTCCACAGGTTCTGGAGGTTGTTCTCATCAAACTGGTTCCCGATCCGTCCTATACATCTGATTGACAAGAGCTGACCATCGTCAAACTGGACTCTGTCAGGCGTAGGGGCCATCACTATCTGTCCTGGGTAGGCTGAAAGATATGATAGAAACTGTGTCTGTTCATATTCTCATTTTTTTTTTGCGACAAAGAATATCAATACTACGAGAAACAGGTTCATGTGTACAGGTGTACTCAGGATTACCAAAAGACAACTTTAGGACATCTAACATTTTAGCATCCGTAAAGATCCGGGGTAGAATTGGTCTTCAGTAACCTATGCTTGTCGTAAGAGACGATACACGGGATCGGGTGGTCAGGCTCGCTGACTTGGTTGACACATGTAATCGTATCGATGCTCATGCTGTTTATCACTGGATAGTCTGGTCCAGGCTTGATTATTTACAGACCGCTAACATATAGCTGGCATATTGCATAATCTAAGATAGTTAATATAAGAACAAACGCACTTCTAGCTGTGATGTTGGTAGTTGCCTCATCACTTCCAGCTGACCCCGTCAAGTATGACGTGGTGCAGTAGTATGTAGAGGCAGCATCAACACATCTCAGATCTGTCAGGATGAACTGTATACTGCTTGTTGCTCCACTGATAGAACCCGAGGCTGTCATCCGCGGTTGTAGACTTATGTCCACTACTTGTACTGACGAATCTGTGTTGGTCATTCGTATTATAGGCTGATCAAAGCCAGGAGAAGACTTCTTGCCAATCTCCATGGTAAACACTGTAGTTATCCCAGGTGCATCTGGCCTGCAACTTACAGTCAACTGAGATGTTGGGTTACTGCCCCCGATTGTTATTTGACTCGGTGATGCGGTCAGGCTTGCCCCGGTGACTGGAAAAGACAACAAATGTGTTCATGTCAAATACCGATGCAGAAGTTGAGCAATCGAAAACATGTCAGATGATTCAAAGATTTAAACATCTGCTGTGAATAATGTATAACATTGAAGCAGAAATGATGTTAACTTTTGCGGACACGAAGGAATAAGTTCACACTGCCAACAAATGCAATAGTATCATCATTCGGTTCCATATATGGCGATTGTGATACCCGTTCCCACCACGTACCCGTTCTACCACGTAATGCCAATGCGTAATTAACACGGAATATCACGAAAGGAAAATTCGTAGATTATAGTATATTTCGGCATCGAAAACAAAATAACTGATAACAGCTATACAATATCTCTTTTATAACTGTGGCATTTGAGAAGCTGTTTCGATTTTAGATTTTTGAGGATGTACATGAATGAATATGTTCACATAAATAACAAATCCTAAGTTAACTAACTCCATTCCATTCCCTGTATTCATGATCCAAGTGTCGATACTGACTCCAGTTCTACCTCTTTTCACAACCTAATGCCAGCGCCTAAAAGAAGAAATATCATAGAAGAATAAGCTATGTTGGAGTGTGGAAACAAAATGATCTTCAGCAAACAATGTGATGAATGATTTCTTACAGTAAAGACACCAATGAAGACCCGAGTTAGAATATTGATCTTCAATAACCATGCTTGTCGTATGGGGCGACTTACGGAATCGGGTGGTCAGGCTCGCTGGCTTGGTTGACACATGTCATCGGTTCCCAATTATGCAGATCGATGATCATGCTGTTGATCACTGGATTGCCTGGTCCAGACTCAATTATGTACATACCACCGCCATATAGCTGGAATATTGCTGAGTGCGGCGTAAAACTAAACTTACTCACTCACTAAAGACTCCTTCCTTCTTGTTATAGATGGGGCACGATGTTCGTACTTACCTCCAGACACAAAGGTCATGAAGGTCAGGAGACAGACGAGATGACAAGGCGCCATGCTCTGTTCTTCTCAATAACGAATTTCTGTTCCTGAAACATGTCAATGTATGACGGCTATGAAACATCGCCTTCATTTTCCTGTTGTATTTCTTTATCAGATCTATCAAGTGGTTTGTTTACAGTAACCATTTCGTTACTTGTCTGTCGACAATAGTGTCGTATTTCTACAGCAGATCATTACTTGTGGTTTGTTTACAGTAACCATTTCGTTACTTGTCTGTCGACAATAGTGTCGTTTTTCTACAGCAGATCATTACATGTGGTTTGTTTACAGTAACCATTTCGTTACTTGTCTGTCGACAATAGTGTTACGTATTTCATCCAGTCACAGCTCATTGTCTCTGTCTCTCTTGACTTCTTTTACGCATCGGCTCAACAATTTACTGATTTAGTTGTCTGTCGACAATCAGTTCATTTTCGTATTTCTACAGCAGATCTATACATGTGGTTTGTTTACAGTAACCATTTCGTTACTTGTCTGTCGACAATAGTGTCGTATTTCTACAGCAGATCATTACATGTGGTTTATTTACAGTAAGCATGTTGCTACTTGTCTCTCGAGTTGTTACATAAGAAGAACAAATGAAACACATTATATGTTTCTGTGCCCACTTTCGGTATCAAATACACAGACAGTATCATTAAACACCCAGATATTAAAACAATGCATGTTATGAATTTCTAAAACTATGGTAAACATACCATGTTAAATGCAAACATATCAACATGTCAAATACTTTTGAAATGGAAATGCATTTTCCAAGAATATAAACCAATTGAAGCTGATATACGTATTTAGCATACTTTAGAAAGACCACAGAAAGTTCACGATTCACAACTCGTGGTCGTCAGGTTGGTTTGATATGTCTGTCGAAAATTGGTTCCCATCAATATATGAAAGATCACGTTCACTAATAATCACAACTGTAGCAGTATCGATGTAAACATACGTGCTTCGAAAAAACTCTTCTTGTAATAGTAGATACAGCTTTCACACCTTTGTTCCGTGAACCACACCTACCTGTTGATGCGATCTCACCGATGTTAAATGCAGTGACTTCAGCAATGGTGTAGTGTTAAAAGCACCCCCTGTGCACCGTATACCTTGATTTGTGGCGACACAGTGTCAATACTATGACGCATTGCCCGTGCGATAAGATTATTTATTACCCACGTTGTCAACGTATGGGTATTTGCATACTAATCTCGTACGTCACACGAGTGTCGTATCGCGTTGACCTGTGTCGTAACGACTTTACCAGAGATTCTAACGATTTTTTTGGGTAACCGATGACCTTTCAATTAGGTCATATTCTGACGTAACTATTTTTTCATTCATAACAAACACGTGAATCCATTCAACTTAAATTCATTGTGGGAATGTAAACATCGCGAACGATGCCGTGTCGCTGTTTAATTGTGAGTCGAACTGAGACATTATACCCGTCGAAAAACGTAAACGCAATGTTTCCACCAGTGATGTTAGCCGAATGAAGCAACTGCAAACCAAGAAACGGGGTGCTACGGAGTAGTTTACTGTAGGAGGCTGTACGAGGCGATGACAACTGACATGCATCGTGACGTCGGTTACCAAGGCAGTGACGTCATTGCAGTGACGTCATGCAAATATTGTACTACAGTACAAAACTCTTCCGCAACCTCTTTATGAAACCGGTTTCGGTTTGAAACCAAAATATTAACAAAAATACGCTATTTTGTCAATTTAATGCATGTAAGACGTGGGTAATAAATAAAATCGGTCTCATTACACGAATACTCGGTCTTCATTTATAGGAAGGACACTCTCGGTCATTTACATAGAACAGAACAAAAGTAAGGTTTTGAACAGTGTTTGTGACTGTTGATGTATGACACTGATGTGAAAGTTCAAGTCCTGCCCAGATTGCCTTCACAACGGTCACAACTGTAAGAAAGAGAATTTATGGGTGTCAACTTCAAACTGAAGTGCAAATACTTTCGGAATATATCCTTCGTTCACTATGGGAATAATTGTTAGAATGACAAGATGGTATATACACATGGAGAATGTATCGCAACATTTCATATTTATCAAGTTCAGTACCACCCTGGCGCTGCACCTCCGTGATAGTATCAGATGTATAATTTGACAATGAGGTATTGCGATAAATCCTTGATGAGTGGCCTGTACCAATAAATCAAGATTTTGTACTGACAGATCTCTCTGGCGACCCATAATGTCCCAAACATGTTCTACGGGATTGAGATCTGAACTCCTGAGTTTTAGTTCTGTTGCTCACAGAAATCCACGTCGCACTGACAAAAAAAACCAAGCCATAAATATTAAAGTATGAAATTGAATTGGTGAATTTTGAAGGCAATAATTGCTGTGGTCGACTGCCAGTCCCTGACCATATCTGGACAAAATCCCGTTTTAAGGTGAGTGAGTGTAGTTTTACGTCGCTTTTAGCAATACTGCAGCAATATCACGGCGAAGGACACCAGATATGGCTTCACCGTTTGTACCCATGTGGGGAATCGAACCCAGGTCTTCGGCGTGACAACCGAACGCTTTAACCACGCGTACATTAAGTACATTCAC